AATGATTGACACTATGGTAACACTAAAGCCACTACTAGGAATCGATATCCCGCTGATGAGAAAATGTCTTCCGCTTGATAAAAATGCGTTTAAATATTGTTCATCTGTCCTAGTTCTATCACATACATGAAGACGGTAAATCTCAAAAGGCAAAAATTGTCAAACTGACATAAACTTACATTCACTTCGTCACTGTGTAATACTAAAGGAATACCGAATGGTTTTCCGTGCAGGATTGCGTGATCCATGCACAGGGATGTCGGGAGACTTTCGGAAAGCGTAAAAATACTCGAGCCGCAAGCGAGTGTATTTTTACGATTTCCGAAAGTCGAGCAACATCCCAAGTGCATGGATCACGCTATCCTGCTGACCTGCTTGGAAAACCATTTGGTAATTGTTTTATAGAATAACTATGGTGAAACAATAACATTTTGAGAATCCCGCGAAGGCATATCATTTTAATTCCTCGTGCAGGATAGCCTGATCCTGCACGGCTATTGATCAATCAAATTGCGTGTTTCACTATAGTTATTACATAATAATTATAGTTTCTGCCACAACATGAATTGTTTTGCTATATTTTTGGGAATGAATTCTAGCTAATTTAACTTTTGAAAATAGATATATCTTCTCTTTTTTAATTTTTACAGTCATTTTGCCGTTACAAATTACAAAAAAAACTTGCCCAGGCCTGCTCGATCAAAACATTTCCGACAGGCCAAACAATTTAAAATTCATTTTAGCCACAATGCCCCCAACAAAATCCCCAAAACACGCTACAACGCCCACCAAAGTTGCTATAATTCGTAATAATCTATTCGTTACGTTTTCCGTACTTTTCCTAAAGAGTTTTAGAAAGTTTTAAACACTATTCAGTTAGTTACCACTGGTTTCATTTATACACAACAGTTGCACTATCCAGGCTAGTTTTCAGACCAGTGCATGCCTATCCCGTATGGAACAACTTCGCGTATCTTACATGAAGTACTCCTTAAGGTCAGGTCGTTCTTTCCAATCACATGACCTCACAATTCTGTGCACCTCGACAGAAAGATTGGGGAAAAGGTTAAGGAAGCACTCTTGTGGATCATCCACTAAATAGAATAGTTCTGGTCGCGGCCTTGGACGGTCATGCCAGTGTTCGTTGACATTTCGGATAAGTCGCAAGCAGTCCGTCCACGACGGCTTATAATGAAATGTTTTCCCCTTCAAAGGATCAGTGCTTAAATACTGCAGAACATCGGCATTCATCAGAGATCTCCAATCTTTGGGATCGCTATTCAACATTCGCACGACATCTGATCTGACATCCCGTGTCTTGATCTCAGGCTGATTTCCCATTTTGCACAACATTTCAAATTGCTGTTTGGCGGACTCAAGGTAAGGGTGTTTTAGCGCGTCTTCAGCAGAAGGTCTATCTTTAGGGTCGTGGCTCAGCATCCAGGATAACAAATCTTTCAAGACAGGATTTTTCAGAGTATCCAAGCCAATTGGTTTACCTTTAAGTAAGTTGTCAAGTCGGAATCGTTCTTCTCCAAAGGGATGTTGACCTTTTGTCACAATGTAGAATACCACCATTCCGGCTACCTAAATATGACAAAAGCAAACTGTACTAATTAGTCTTTCAGGTACGAAAAAAATAATTTTCATGTTTTCATGAAAATTGTGACATAGCATAGACCAATGCAAAATGTATGATGCCAAAAAGTTTATTGGACACCTTTAATGACCGAGTTTTAAAACATATTACTGATGTCAAATTTTCAAAGGCTGTGAAAATTATGTTTTAAATTATAAAACCTGGTTTAAAAATATTTCGTTGAGAAAAATGTATAGTTTATTTCAGCTTTAGAAAGAATAAAATAATTTTGGTTAAACATCGGCTTTACTAAAAAATTTGTTTATTTGATTGCGATGTTAGTGGACAGGATTGTGCTGAACTTACACACTCCTGGTCGAATTCAATATGGCGGATTTATAAGTACACTCATTGCTAAAAATGGAAGCATAGTTCGTGATCAACTACGCAGTCTATATTTATTAATTTTCTATGACTGTGCCCCGTAGTACTCGTTGGAGCTAAATAATAATAATAAATACTTTATTTAAACTGTTAAAAATCCCATCAGCAATGCTGCTGGTGTTAACGGGAGAACAGTGATTACAATTATCAACGATTGCATGTATACAATATAAACATGCATCCTAAATACTACAAATATGGGAATTGTTGTCAAGTTCTAAAAGATGCGCGTAAGCAGTACGTTTAAATTTTGAGAGTGATATCAATTCTCTAATGTTTAATGGTAGAGAGTTCCAGTCTTTAGCACCAGCATACTTGAAAGTAGATTGACCTATTGCACTGTTCACCTTCGGAAGATCAAGCAGCGTCTTATCCCTCAAGTCTTTGTTGTGCATGCACCATCTTCTTTTGCCATGAGTTATGCCATCTTCTTTTGAAAGCAATGTAAAATCTATACTTATTTACTTTAATTCGTGGTTAACACAAACGAAACCCTACCTGAATATCAGATTCTTTCTTATAACGAACTTCGCTATTGCCGGTCATGCAATTTGAATGATATGAAGATTCAACGGCTCTCCAATCATCTGTTCCCCTCTGTTCACTTGGATGGGTAGTGACATCTGCCGTTAAGATACGACTGATACCAAAGTCGGCCAGCAACCAATTGCCGTCGACATCTCGCAAGATATTGGATGGTTTCAAATCACGATGTAAAACGGGCATTGGATAGCGATGGAGATCAGCCAATCCTTTCAAAACTTGCCGAATTATATCTGGCGCAATTGTTTCTAGATTGTCCAAACTGTTACCAGCAACAAAATTTGCTAACGTTTCCTCGCATAAATCCAAGATTAGGAAGAAGTAATCCTTATCGCATTGTTCGTCTAAAAACCAATAATTTACAACATAGTTTGACGTAGTTGCATTAAGTTCGTTCAAAACTTTCTTTTCTTGTTTAGCTTCGTCAGCGCAAGCATCTCTTGGCAAACGTTTTACGGCTTTTTCGTATCCATCTTTGCCTAATCCTACATAGACTCGAGTGCCATCACTTCCCTTCCCGATGAGAAACTCCTCTGAGCAACAAACGCGCACTCCGTTAACGTCCTTGATCTCGTCCGGATAGTCTTTCCCATATTGCAGCAGCTTAATGAACTTCTCTCGATGAACTATCGATCTCTTTTCCCATTTCCACGATCCCAGGCTCTCTATACAAGAGATAAAACAAGACAAATACCTTAAACTAAAATTTAAACGGTTGGAGACAGCTTGTTAACCGGACTGACGGAGTATGCAGCAACTGAATATCGTCTAACTTACACTGTTGACGATTCGGACTGTTGTACATAAAGTTGTGTTTTCACAAAATATAGCAATATATAACAAGTACCTGTATTGGTATTCTTTGCAAACTTTTGAGCTTTTTTTGAACTTTTGGCCTTTTCATTTCGGCCTTCTATAGAATGTTTGAAAAAGATATAGTTTGTCTACATTCTCTTTCTACGCACTTTTATTAAATTTATAAAATATAACTTTTCAATATACGTAAAATATATTTTTATAATTAATATTTAACTAGTTTTTAAGCGTTTTCCAAAGGTTTATTAGTTCGATATTTTATATGGCATTTTGTGATACTCTTGGGTGTTCTCAGGCCGGAAATACGGGGGTGTGGGTGTGGGGGGGGACTGCAGGACTGCTATTCAATCGGTAGGACAAGAGAAAGTTAATTTACAAAAATAACTATGAATTTGGAAAAATGATGTATATTTACAAACATTTCGAATATTCTAGAAATTTTCGGAATTTTAGAAATATTTTTTTGATAAATGGATAAAATTTGTGATGTCTGGAAAATTTGTTTGTTGTTCCGAAAAATTTTGATATGTCCGGAAAAATTTTTGTACCCCTAAAATGGTCAGCATGAGCTCCACATTTGAATTTACTATATGAGTAAATTCTTAAACACGTCCGAATTTATCATTATGATAAATTCGCGGCAAATTTTGAATTTATCGTAATAATAAATTCGCGGCACCTAACCCTAACCACTAACCCCTAATTTTTTTTAATTTTTTAACTTTTTAAAAATCTAATTTTTTAAACTTTTCTTGCTTTTCAAATTTTTGAAAAACTTGAAAAACTCCCCACCCCTGCGCGTCCGGCCTCCTTTTTAGTGCCATTACATTTATAACAAGAAATGTGTAGTGCTTGTGGTGTTATGATTAACTATATTGATAAATTGAAAATGTGCCGCGAATCGCATATTATCATAATGATAAATTCGGACGTGTTTAAGAATTTACTCATATAGTAAATTCAAAGGTGGAGCTCATGTTGAAAATGGTACACTGACCGAATTTTTTTCGGGGGGGGGGAATCACCAAAAATAATTTGTTCCAAAAATTTTTTTCAGGTACTGGTTGGTTGAAATGACCTTACACCCCCCCTGAAGAATTCCCTGAGGACGGCCCTGGCCGTGTTCTGTTCGGTGTTTCGGGGTTTTTTATTGTTTTTTTCCCAGCAATCTAGTTGTCAATCTACGTTTTGAAAAAAGACAAAATATAGAATAAATAATATCTTAATGCTCGTTGGAGTTATCAGATTGTCTTAATAACCGCAGTTAGTTTCTCTCGACTAGTCTCGCATTGACTGCTTGAGTTTATTTAAAACCCAAAAATCGAAAATCCTCACTATACTGAGGTGTGGCCGTTTTGGAAAATAAATAATAATAACAGAGGCTCTTTACAAATGTTAAACGTTACCTTTGTGTTAACATTAAACATTAATTAAACAGATTTGCTCCAAGATGTTCATGGGTAGCTCTATCCACATTTTTATTAATTTGGAGAGAATTTGAGAATTGCAATGTCAAGCATGCCAGCCATGCAGATTGAAGTCACCTTCTATTTTTCAAATATATCTACTATAAATCTTACATCAACCTGATACTCAATATCAGAGATTCTTTACCTAAGCTTACCTATAATTTTTGACAAATTTTCAATTGCATTTTTTGCCACATTTTCCAGACGTTTATGTCCTTGTTCTTTTGCAGTTTCGAAGGCTTCCCCATAGTGCCGAATAGCCGTTTGAATCCCATTGTTCTGTCTATAAGCGTGACCTAACCGAATGTGTGCTTCGGTTTCCTCTTGTTTATATCCGTGTTCTCTTGCAATTTCTAAGGCTGTGTTATAGTGCTGAATTGCCACTTGAAAATCATTTTTCAATCTGTAAGCATCTCCTAACCCAAGGTTTGCGTTCGTTTCCTTTCGTTTATATTCTCGTTTTTTCACAATTTTCAAGGCTTTCTCATAGTGCTCAATTGCCGTTTGAATATGTTTTTTTAATCTATAACTATCTCCTAACCCAAGGTATGCGTTTGTTTCCTCTTGTCTATATCCTCGTCTTTTTGCAATTTCCAAGGCTTTCTTATAGTGCTGAATTGCCGTTGGAATCAATTGTTTGTTCAATTTATGAGCATCTCCTAACCCAAGATATGCGTTTGTTTCCTCTTGTTTATATCCTCGTTTTTCTGCAATTTTCAAGGCTTTCTCATAGTGTTGAATTGCCGTTTGAATCTGATTGTTTAATCTATAAGCATCTCCTAACCCAAGGTATGCTTTGGCTTCCTCTCGTTTATATCTTCGTTTTCTTGCAATTTTCAAGGCATAATTCTCAAAGTATTTAATTGCCGTTTGAATCTGATTGTTCAATCTATAAGCATCCCCAAACTCAAGGTACGCGCATGTTTCCTCTTGTTTATATCCTCGTTCTTTTGCAATTTCCAAGGCTTTTTTATAGTATTCCATTGCCTTTTGATTCTGATTGTTCAATCTATAAGCACCTCCAAATCCAAGGTACGCGCGTGTTTCGTCTAGTTTATATCCTTGGGCTTTTGCAATTTTCAAGGCTTTGTCATAGAATTCCATTGCCTTTTGAATCTGATCGTTCAATCTATAAGCATTTCCTAACCCAAGGTACGCGCATGATTCCTCTTGTTTATATCTTCGTTCTTTTGCAATTTCCAAGGCTTTCTCATAGCGCCGAATTGTCGTTGGAATCTGATTGTTTAATATGTGAGCATCTCCTAACCGAAGGTATGCTTTGGTTTCCTGTCGTTTATATCTTCGTTCTTTTGCAATTTCCAAGGCTTTCTCATAGTGCTGAATTGTCTTTTGAATCTGATTGTTCAATTTGTAAGCATCTCCTAATCCAAGGCATGCATTTGTTTCCTCTAGTTTATGTTCTCGTTTTTTTGCAATTTTCATGGCTTTCTCATAGTGCTCAATTGTATTTTGAATCTGATTGTTCAATCTGTAAGCATGTCCTAAACCAAGGTATGCTTTCGTTTCCTCTAGTTTATATCCTCGCGGTTCTTTTGCAATTTTCAAGGCTTTGTCATAGTGCTGAATTGCCGTTGGGATCTGATTGTTTAATATATAAGCATCTCCTAACCCAATGTATGCTTTGGTTTCCTCTCGTTTATATCCTCGTTCTATTGCAACTTTCAAAGCTTTTGTATAGTGCTGAATTGCCGTTTGACTGTCATTGTTCGTTCTATAAGCATCGCCTAACCCAATGCATGCGTTTGTTTCCTCTTGTTCATATCCTCGTTCTTTTGCAATTTCCAAGGCTTTCTCATAGAGTGGAATTACCTTTTGAATCTGATTGTTCAATCCGTAAGCATCTCCTAACCCAAGGTATGCTTTAGTCACCTGTAGTTTATATCCTCTTTCTTCAGCAATTGCCAAGGCTTTCTCATAGCGCTGAATTGCCGTTTGAATCTGATTGTTCAATCTATAAGCATGTCCTAACCCAAGGTATGCTTTAGTTTCCTTTATTTTATATCCAGCTTGTTCATTTGCAATTTCCAAGGCTTTGTTAAAGTATTCGATTGCCTTTTGGATCTGATTGTTCAATATATGAGCCTCTCCTAACCCAAGATATGCGTTTGTTTTCTTTTGTTTATATCTTTGTTTTCTTGTAATTTCCAAGGCGTTCTCATAGTGTTGAATTGCCGTTTGAGTCAGATGGTTCAATCTATAAGCATCCCCTAACCCAAGGTGTGCTTTTGTAATCTGACCTTGATCATTTCGTTCCTCTGCAACTTCCAAGGCTTTCTCGTAGTGTTTAATTGCCACTTCAATCTGATATTTATATTTAAAAGCATTTCCTAACTGAAGATTTGCCTCGGTTATTTCTTTTGTCTCTTTCATTTCCTCAGCGAATTCCAAAGCTATTTGAAAGTTTGCAATTGCTAGTTGAAACTCACGTCTCTTTATATAAGAGTGTCCGGAGTTAAGGTACTCCTGTATTTGTTGCTTTTCAGTTATTTTCTCCATTCTTATATATACTGCTTGTGCATTTTTGTCAAATACAATCGATAGCTGAAAGTAGAAATGAGCTATTTGATTAAAAGCCTATATCTTAATTTTTTTGGTTTAAAGCTATTATTAGTATAGGAAATTAGACGGTTCGAGAAGTATTAATGAAAAATCGCACACGTGTTTGGCGAAATATTTATAATCCGGTATTATAAATATTTTGTCAAACACGAGTATGATTTTGCATTGATACTTCGAGAACAAGTGTAATTTCCTCTTCATATCATTCAACTTTACGAGCAATCAATGACAAGAAACATTGTATTGAAATGTATTCAAGCGCGAGCCCAGCCATATAGCCTACGTTCCTTTGTGATTTTCTGACATTAATTTTAATTCATACGTGCATGTAATTACTGTGAATAATTTTTATTTCATCTTTTTCTTCTGTTTAAGCACTCGTTGGCATTGCAAAATTAGAGCTTAGAAAATAAAAATTTTCACATTGTTTATATAGATTTTGAATTTAAACCCCTGCACCCCTGGTTTTGTATTTAAACCTCAGCATATGGAATACACGCAAGATCGTTTCGTGCCGATTTATTTATTGTGCTTCACTTCCAAACATACAATAATTGTCGTAAAGAAGCTGGGACACCACAACAGCATAACACCAATTACAGTGGGCCCTTCACAAAATACTAATATAAATATAAATATAACTATAGAAAACAAAAATAACCACACCGCGATCCGCCGTGTAAGACTCGTATGCTGGAGTATGCAATCGAGTAGGCACGCGTCAATTTGTGCATTTAAAATTTCACTTTAATTCAGATTTTGGAATTGTGGCATCAAATGAATTTCATACACCAGAACCCGAATCGGCACGGTTTTTAATTAATCAAAATCGAGAAAATTGACTAGAATAACATAAATAACGTAGATCATTGTTGTTTGTCGAAAGCTTTTTGTATCAGCTGGTCAGCGGCTATCTATTTTGTTACGTTCAACAAGGACGTGCCGATGTCCACTAAAGTAATATACTATAGGTAGATATAAAAATAATTTGTCTACAGTTGTATAACTTCGGCAACTGTCGTTCATCCCTTCATACCATGAGTCGGTTTAACGTATTTTTAAAATAGGGAAACTGGCAATGGGAAACCCCAACAGCGGAGTGGGAGAATCACAAAATCATATAGAGTGGGGAATGGCATGGGTGGAATGGGAATTTTGGAATAAAGGGGAAACGGGCAGGGCCGAAACTCGGGTATAAACTTTCGGGGGGTATGAGGCTATTTTGGCCGACATAAAAGGCGTGGCCGTAGTATTGTCCGACGAACCTATGAAGACAATTTATATGAAACATATCGGGACTAGTCAGATAGTATTCTAAATTTTAAGCAAATATATACAAGTTATAAAATACAATATGAACACCCAATTATATTCACCACTTAAAGGTAATCATACTTTCACGTGCATACATTGATAATCACTTGGAGTAGGGTTAGGTTGGGTTAGGGTGAGGAGTAGGGTTTGGGTTAGATTTGGTGTTTGGAATAGGGTTTAGTGTTAATAAAACCGTTGCTTTATTACGTTTTGTCACTCTGAGGCCAGCGAATATCGTGTATATCCTCAATAATCCAAGATGGCGGACAGTTCATCACTTTCAGTAACAAGGGCATTATTTCAGTATCTGTTAATTATTTTATTGTCAAAATATGGGTAAAAGTAATCCAATATATTTATTCAAAACACAACACATACAGCTGGGAATTTTAGGTATACTGGTATTCAGAATCAGTCTAATTAATTGTGTTTATTAATCTATCGTGGTAACCTTCTTTTGCTAAGTCTTTTTCCGTTATAAAAATATCTATAAATATTAAAACAAATTAAATTGTAAATTTTATAATTTTCTTTAAATAATATAAGCACAAATGTTTTTGTCAATAAACATTTTTGTCAATTACCTTTATTGATAACTTGATAACTCAAAAATCTTAATTAATAATATTATAATAAAGACCCAGCATCACATACTTGGGATTGTAATATTTATTTAATTAGATATATTAATTATTAATTTAAGAATTCATTATGCCAATTGATATGCTATATGATAATATGTTTGCCAACAAAGTAAAACGCCAAAAATGTTTTTTTTCCCCCATTTTTCTTTTATGTCTTATTTTTATCTCTTCCAGTTCACCATTTCCTGTTTCCCCCTTTCTCTTGGCCTTGATAATTTCGAATACGATGTTTGGTCGAAAAACGATTTGTACGTTGTTTGGAGCTCGTGCAAATCCAAGCGCTGCGGTTGACAGTTTGAATTAAGAAACCGCAGCAAAATAGATCTGCGCCTGTGTAAGTCACTCGACAACGGATGGCCTCCTCTATTTGTTGCATGCAGTCTATGAGGCTACTGATTGCGGTGATGCAGAGACTCGAATATTCTTTGTTGATTTCTCAAAGGGATGTTATCTGTTTGATCATAACATTATAATTGCTGAGTTGGGGAAAATTAGAAGTATTGCAAGTGCTTCATAGTTGGATTACCGTATCTGATTGGAAGTATCTAAAAGGGGGTATACCCCAAGTAACGAAGTAGGATTTTTTTCCATGTAATGACAATTGTTGATTGACTGGCATTTGCAAATCAAATCAAATAATATTAATATATAAATCGTAGATTTAAAAACTAAATGAACGGTATATTTTTTTACCTTTAAATATTTTTTGCTTGATCAAAGATGGGTTTTACTATTAACATTAATATTACTTTTAGTTTAGTTTAAGTATTTAGATGTAGATGGTATTGGAGTGTAATTTTATATAAACTCGTCAATTTAGTTCTTTTGTAACTACAAAGAGTTTAATAAACTATTTACAGTAAACACAAGTATAGTTCGCTACATTTTAAACAGTATAGCTGACTGCATTTCGTCGATGTAGCTGTAATGACACTCGACCACCTTGGCCTTGATAATTTTCGGATATGAAAACCTCAGTCACCCAATGACTGTTTATTAATTTTCATGCCTAGTCTCGTCCAATAATTGTTTAGTAATAATTATATTACGGCAAAATGCATGACGTAAGCCATTTTCTATTGGCATGCATGAAATTTTTTTATTAACAAACGTCTGTACGTTGCTGTTCGGCATGCATCTTCTAGTAATATAATTTGGTGGATTTTAACTGTGTACTGATTTTGAATTATTGGGTTTGTTTCAAAAGTAAAGGTAAAAGTGCCGATTTCCACTGCTCTGTTTTTTCCTGCGCCTCTGACTGAAATGCATGGCCTTCGTAGCAGTTCTTAGTAGGCCATCCGATCGCACGCCTTGGCACACGCCTCAGCTTATGAAGAAGTAAGATTTGTTTCACGCCTCGATTAGGCTGCAATGTAAAATATATTTATACATACCCTTACACTAACATAATATATTTCAGTAAAAATGATGGAGTATATATATGACTATGTAAAAGTCCAACACAATAATCTAACTGTATATAGAATATTTTATATTCATGACACAAAAACATGCATCATCGTAGGCGCTAGGAGGCACCATAGGCTTGTCCCTTCCAGCACAGCAGCACTCCGATTTTCGGTTACTATAACTTATTCCAGCTTTCCAATATAAGTAGGAATTAAAATTGAAAAATTATCACACGTTATCACACGTCGGGCTAACAAGTCCAAGAAGTGCGATCCATTGCACCCCTATCCTTAGCAGTGATGGCCTGTTGTTTTTTAAGTTGAGGAGTATGTTTCAGCATTTCAACATTATATTCTGATCTTCACACTGGGGATCACAATGGACCCAAAGTTAAACATTTTTACAAAAAAAAAATAATTTTCAACTTACATGAAATATTCTTCGATATCAGATCCGTACACCGCCAGCTAGCTTCATCAAGTAATTTAGACTGCGCAATGAATTAAATATTTATTTCACACTAATAATTCATATCTGAGTAAATTAGCGAACCATATTGCTTTATTTTGCTCACATGATAAAACTGGATACCTGGTGAAGTCCCATGCAGGCAGGACTGGATCGAAATTAATTCAGTCCTTGGACTGGATCAAAATTATTCAAAGATTTCATCGCGATCGTATGGGATGTCATTTAAAATCCTCCCATTCGGACTAGACTAGAGTTCAAGCCTTTACATTTTGATCAGATTGCGCGGACTTGAAACTAGTCCACTCCTCATAGTCAGATTTGAAATATTACATAACGGTAAAACAAACTTAACTGGATGTACTTGCTAGCGCGAAAATGAAAACATTATACAATATTAATGTAGTCAACATTCTGTAGGAAAACCTAGCTTTCAGACTTTCGTTTATTTCTTCTGCCTTATAGTGCATCATCATGTAAGGGTCATACATATGACTCAATCGTACTAGAGGGCAACATGACTACACGGGAGAATAGCTCAGAAAACTGTTTAATCGAAAAAACAATTAGCCGGGTCGTAAAGTGCACTAATGAACATGCGTGGGTTTGCTGAAGGGATGGGCGACAGCTAGGGACGTTAGAACGTGAACAAAATCAACAAAAGGCCTGTTTAAAACGTCGAATTTTGATCTCGTTGAATGCAATTAAGATAATAGATAATGAGATGATAAAACTCATTAAGCTTCATTATCTATTGTTTGAATTGCATTCGATGCGACCGAAATTCGACGTATAAAACAGGGCCAAGCAAGCGACGTTTTTGTAAACACGCACGTCAAGATTGTCTAGGGGGACTGGATCAAAACCTGTGTTCGTGTCTGTTTGTGGTAATCTTCAACTCATATCACAAAGCATAAGATTTTTAAGGTTTTTTGCCTCTATACACGAGTGCCATCAGAGAAAATGCCGCCAAAATTAGTTATA